TGCCTAAACTTAAAAGGCTACGGTCACCCCTACTTGGGGATTGACGTCCGAGATAAACTCGATTGGCTCGGACTATCGAAGCCTAGAGGTACAAATCCTATTAGACAATACCCGAACTTAAAAGGATATGTCCACCCTAGAAACGGCCCGGAGACGTCTAAGCCCGTAATAAAAACATAAGGCCTTCAAAATTTCAAACCGTTTCAATAATTACCCTCGGTAAAATTATAGTCTAAAGTCGTCTAAACAAGCACTTTGGGGAGAGCTACCTCATACCAAGCCCCCGCAAGTTTCAAACAAAATCCACATCGAGAACATGTCTTGTTCGAACCTCCGAACAGAAACTTATTACTACGTTTTATTCCGGCATTTAAAATCTTTGAATTATAAAGAGGATGCCAAAAGTGATGGACTCAAAAAATTTCCAAAAGGGAAAAAAGCCTTATATACATTCCAAAAAAGTCTTTACAAAGGCCAATGAAAACGGCCTCAACAAAATAAATGTAAAAAGTGCAAAAACAAAGATCCCTAATGCACCTATGCCTGATCTTTACCAGAACCTGCCTCGTCACCAGAGTCGTCGGGGTCTTCTCCATCCTCGGGTTCGCTAGAGCCCTCAAAGCCTTCCTCCCCCTCAAATTCAGCCAACTTCTTGGCCTCGGCCTCGAGCCTTTTCGCCTCTTCAATCTCGGCTGATAGGTCAAAACCTAGGGCATGGATCTCCTCGAGTGTGTCCTTCGAGTCAACCGCTTCACATACTCAATAGTAACTGTCAAGCGGGCCTCAGATGCCTCAACATCAGCCTTATACTGGGCCATCATCTCTCTAGCTTCAGCCCTAGTTATTACCGACACGGACTTCGCTCTTTCGAGCTCCTTGCCAAGGGCATCCCATTCAGTAATGACCGAGCCCAGTTGAGACTAGAGGTCTTCGGTTTGTCGAGCCCGTGCTTTGGCCTTCTCTATCGCCACTCGGAGATGGACTTCTATTGATGCCAGTTGTTCCCGGGCAGTCTTTTTTTCGAAGCCAGCTGATCCATTTTTTCCTTCCAGACATCGGCCACGGCCTTGACCTCGTTCATTTCAGACCGGAGTTGGTCGATCCGGTCAATTTTCTGCTGGACCGGTCATTTCAGTCATCGGCCACGGCCTAACTCGTCATCACTAACTTAAAAAATGTTTACTTGTTCCACCAGGTCGGCATGCTCATTTTGAGCCGCATTCAACTCGGCCCAGAGACACTTGACAGCTTCTTTGTATTGCTCGCTAAGAAGCTTATACGTGTCCAACTCGGCCCGGTACTGGAGAAAACTTTCATGATGAAGTACTAAGGCCTGCAATAATATAAAAGAGAGAAGACATGCGAGATATCAAAAACTAAGTCAGAAGATGAAGAGCGTAATGACACCTTACCCGGTTCAGCACCTGCTGCGCTTCGTTGAACAAGTACCATACATCCACCCCGTTCAATTTTGCCTGGTCTTCTTCGGTTGCCAGTCACCGTATGTAGCTTGCTACTCCGACGGGGGTGGATAGAACTTGGGCATCTTCCGGGACGGTGAGGATTATTGACTGCTTACGGCCAGGATCCATGCTCGGGGCAGGAAATTGGTTGATTAATTTTGGGCTTGAGTTTAGCTCGCCGACCTCTGAAGATGGGTCTTTCCCCGGCACCTCAAAGTCGCCCAACCCGAAGAAGTCTTCCAGAGCGGTCGAGTCCACACCTTCAAAAATAGAACAAAAGGGATTGTCCATACTGTGGGCCCCTTCGTTGGATCACTCCTTTGCCGTTAGGGCTTTGTCAAACATGGACTCGATGAATGAAGGCGACCGCGAAATATCTATGACACTAGGCAGACCGGAGCCGGCATCTTGAGAGGTCTCAGCTCTCATCTCTACATCGGCTTCCCAAACCTGAGGGGGATCAGCCTCCATTATTTCGGCCTCGGCTGCCTCCCGCTCTTCGGGGGAGGTTGGTTCACGAGCCACAAGAATATCGTCTTCCTCGGGCTCATCCCTGAGCTAGAAAAGTAAGTCCGAGTCGGACGCTCGGAAGCTAGAACTCTCCTTTGGCTTACGGGCTAACCTTTTCCTTGGCTTCTTCTTCTCTAAGCTCAGGGAACTCGGAACCCTCTTTTTCTTCTTCTCTCCTGCTGTAGCCCCTAGCTGCCCCAAAGCAGAGGGATCAATGGACAGGTCCCTGCCCCCTAATAAAGGCCTAAGCTCAATGGTCTTAGGCAAGCCTGCGAAAAGAAAAGAGAGGAAATGAGAATATGGTGCTGAAAAAGGAGCCTAGTGTTACTTATTTGGGAAAGAGATCTTACCGTGGGAACAGGCCTCCCAACGACCCTTCGAGAGTTTGCGCCATGTGCGCTCAGAATAAGGCATCTGTGACAAATGCCCTGTATCCACTCCTTTAGCTGAGGAATGGCGTTTGGAAATCGAGCAAGAGCTGCACCACCGCAAATACTAATGAGGAAAAAGAAGATGAACGTAAAATTGACATTTAAAGGAAACTTATGCTTACGTGATACTTTCCACTTCTCGGGGAATAGCCTAAAGTAGGCAGGGATCAAGTCTGCAGTCCTCACCTGGACAAAATGTCCCTGCCAGTCCCGATCCCGGTCCTCATCGATGCTTGAAAATGGGGCTTTGCTAGCCCAGCATACGAGCTTTATCAGTCCCCCCCTCCCCGGAAGATTCGGGGACTATACATGCGGAGTAGATGATCGATGGTGAACCGACATGAGTCGATTTTGTTCACAAAGAATCGAAGGAAGATTACGATCCTTCACAGCAATAGATGGATCTGACTGAGGCATACGTCATACCTCAAACAGAAGTCCAGAATAACCAGGTCTACCAGGCCCAATGTGAAGGGATAAGTATAAACACTTAAATACCCCTCCACATGGGTAGTAATGTCGTCATCGAGCCCGGGGATTACTAGGTCCTTATTCGCCCAGCCACAGTCCTTTTGAACCGCAGGAAGGACATCTTCGGTGATGGAGCATATGTACCTAGATACCGCCTCACACCGGCCCTGCACCGGCGAGGGCTTTTCGACCTTAAAATCATCCGCGATCGAGCACCCCCCGGGGACGAACATTTTCAATTGAGGCTCGGCAGCCGGTTCATCAGAAGTCGCACGCGGAGCGGTTCTCTCGAGGACGACCACATCGGGAGAGGTCCTCTCGACTTCGGCGGTCGGGTGTAAAGTAGAGGAAGCAACTTTTTTGGGGAACATTTTTTGATGTTTTAGCCATTGATGTCTAGAAAAGTTTGAAAAATATGAAGAAAAGTTAGGAGATGAAAGGTAAAAGCTTTACTGAGAAAGTCAAGTACGCTAGTTTGGATAGAAAATAAGTAAAAGCTTGCAATTTACTGAAGAATCTCGAAGAACGGAGGTAAAAATGTTAGCGTATGAAGAAGGGTAGTGATATCCTGAAGACTCGAAGGTAGAAGCTTGATCAAAAGGTAAAAAAATGAACAAAGAAGGGGGGTATTTATAGAGGCTTCGCGTCGTTTCACATCCAACGATGACCTGCCGACGGCTGACATGCGTTTAAAGTCATAAATATGACTTTAAAGAAGGAATCGAAACACACATATCGTTTGAAGTCCTGAATACGCGAAGGGACGTTTTGGATTCTTTGTCGTTTTTGTCACGGCGTGTCGAAGAAGGAATCGAAGCGCACATATCGTTTCTCGTTGTTCCGTAAACTTAATCTTTGAGAAACGAGGGGACTATCTGTGTACGGGTGAAACACTGCCCATGGGATGCCTCGGCTTTCGATGAAGTGAAAGGAGGAAGAGACATGACTGTAGGGGACCAGAATCGAGGTAAGGAGCCCTTGAGCTGGGGTCCAGACAAAACGTCTGCCCTCTGGAGTATCGGGGCCACGGCCCCCAGGATCAGTTCGAATCCGAAAATTCTCGGAGAGCATTACCAGATAATCGAGCATGACCAACAAAAGGCCATGATATCCGTGTCCAGCCGGATGTCATGGCGTGAATCTCGACACGTATCGGCAGAAAACCTGTGATTAGTTAAACGGAAGATTTTTACCTTTTGTGAAATTGTACTTTGGGTAAAACTCCCCTACTATATAAAGGGCGGTCTGATTATTCATTAAACATACTGTAACACGCATATCAAGGCAATATAATCTTATTTTCTCTATTATTCAAAGTTCTTACTTTTGTTCATCAGTTCAGCATTAACGTGAGTCCGGGATTGAAGGCAGGCATTTCATTAAGCTGTTACTGAGTCCAGGATCACTTCTCTTGATTTGTTTGACAATTTGTTACGTTCTTTACCTGTTTAATCTAACGCAATTTATCGTTTGTATTGAAATAACCCACGTATTCTGAATTCTTAAAACAACTTCCAAATTTAATTGTTATCTATTTTTAAGGGTAAACACTAACCAAACATAGTATTTCATTATGTAGCATTTTATGCTGGAATTATTTTTCAATCCCTCCAATCAAACGACTACCAAAAGTCTCAATACTTTATGTTTTGACAATCAAATTTCATGTATTCTAGATTATGTACTACATAAAAACCGTCCAAATGTATGCATAAATGGGAGTTTTAAAGGCAGTATCTCAGAAAATTATGTCTAACCAGGTTGGTGTAAGCTTTATATATAGGCACATCGCCACGTTGGCAGCAGAGATGCTAGGGCAGCCTGGTGCACAAGATATTCCGTATTCACGCAGGATTCAGGAAGGGTCACACTCTAAAGGGTGTGATGCAGCCTACCCTAATGCACATATTAGTGGCTGCTTTATTAGCTTGAATCTTTGACCTATAGGTCACACGGAATCAATTTTACCGTAACAAAGATACTAATTTAGGTTAAATTCAATGAAAACTACCTTATAGTATTAGGCAGTCTCAGCTACTATCAGAAGTAACAGAAATTAATGAAATGTAGATGAAAAAGGCATAAACCACAAACCTAAAACAAGAATATACCATTTTGTAATTTGTATTGTAAACCAGCCTATAAAATCACGGTTTAATGCCCACTATCAATCAAATCAACAGTCAATTATCACTACACTTTAATCCCGAATAAGTTATGGACAAGTAAATCAAATCACTTGAAAAAACAATCTAATGTCTTGCACCACTGATTTATATTGGGCCAGTGTACTAAAAATAATGCTACATACCAAGGTGATGTTGGGGCAGTGCTTAATACGAGTTTTCTCCAGTCCCAAACAGCTTCGAGGTTCCAAACGAATGATTTCAAGGTGCATTTACATAAAGTAAAAGCTCTAGACTCGGTTCCTTTGACCAGAAATAAAAACACTATTCGGGCTTATGAAGTAATCAGGATAACCAATACTTCTTTATCCTAATTAGTACGGCAAAGATCCCGTAGCAAGGTAGATGGAGAATACCAACTGCAAAATACCTGCAATTTCACATTTGGGGCCAAACATGAAGAGCACAATAAGTGTATCAACTAATTGCTCATCTTTTTAATATCAACCAAAAAATGAAATCGTAGTCAGGGGCGGAGCCAACCCTTTGACTATTGGTTCAGCCGAATCTAGTAGCATTGGTCCAAACCTTATATTACAAACTATTAATTTAGAACCCAGTGGCTTAAAAGAACTAGAATCCTAAACTCATAAGATTCAAATCTTGACTCCGCCTCTGATCATAGTCTTTCACCATTCTATTTTGCCTGAAACTATTGCATGATTAAAAGGCGTTTACAGGAGATACACAATTGTAAGAAAAATATTTCATTTTATTAAGATGTCTTGTTGTTGTATGAAATTGTCTCATCTTATCGGAAGTTCAAAGTTATCATCTATTATATATAGCTAGCTAGTTTTGCAATGTATTAGAAGAATAAGATACCATACCCAAAGGGACCATATTGAGATGAAAAATCTAGAAAGGGATACGGCCACCTGTTGCAACAAAAGTTTAGTTAACAGTTTTAGTAAAACAGCATAAGCCTAGCTAGATGATAGTCAGTACCATGATCAAAAGCAGAAAAAAAATACCTCGTCGAGACATAAATATGGATGATCCACTGGAAACTGACAAAGATACACGTCCAAAGCACGAAATATGCTATGCGAAAGAAAGGGAATCGCTGGGAAGGACAGAATATTAACCATGGCTCGATTATCGGGAACATATAGAACTTAAGACAGTAGAGGAAATTCAAACTTACTAGACAATTTAGAAAGGTATCACCCAAAAGGCAAATAGTATTGAAAGAATGCATACAAACAGCCAGCTGCAGTAACAGGAACACTATCAGGTATGTATGAACTATGTGCCGAGCACGAATACTTACTAAATGGTTAATTTAGATGCAGAGGCGGAGCCACATAGGCTCAAGGGTAGTCAGTAGAACAACCTTCGCTAGTAAATTATATGGATGAAATAGGTCAAATATTACAGTTTTGTACATATACATTAAATCTTTAATACCCTTAGCCAAATTCCTGACTTGCTCACTGATCTTAAAGATTAACAGTGACAGTCGAGGGCATTTGCATTTCATAATCAAAGGTGAAATTCTTTAATTTATCATTGACGAACAACTGCGACATCATTTGCCAGATGTTCAAAGAAATATATCAAGCAAAATAATATGGAGCTAAAGGAAGATTAAGCCCAAAAAAATAAAAATAAAAATACGTACAAAATGTACCCAGTTACTTTCGTAAATGTGGGATGGGTAGATAAGGAGCCAAAAGAAACAATCTGTAATCACAACACCACCTGCACATATCTACAAATTATACAGGGGAGAGCCAAAATTAGCCACGTAGCCCTAAAATGCAGCATGAATAGAACTAAAAGTCTAAAACCACTTTTCTGAGAACATAAAACAACTATGCCTCAATCACAAACAAGCGGCACTGACCATGTTCTCCATTCAAATCATCTCATCAAGCCGGCATTTTACAAAGTAAGGTAAATGGATCTAGAGAGAACATGCCTGGAATATTATTTGAAAGACATAGCCCCAAAGACCTGCAGCTTCTCTAACATGGGAATTCAAGCCATTGTATACAATAAGTACGCTCGCGTTTTCAGGAGTTGAATCACTACTGTAAGAGCCTCTTTCAGCATCAACAACATCAGAATTCTCACTGTTACCTCCCTTGCGAGATTCGAGACATCCATGGATGGAGAGTGAAGATCCTAACTATGAAATATAGCTCAGAGCATCACCAACTTGTATAAGAAATACTAACAATAATCTCAAAGTAATAGGGAAAGATGAGAGGTACTGTGAGGTGACATAAATTTCTCGAGCTGTTGAAGACGTAATTAAGAAAATAAAAGTGTCTTTTGTTTAATATCTTAAACGAGATTGTCACACATTTCAAACATATTCTACGTTGTAGGAGGAAAGAAACACAACATTTAGTTCCTTCGTATTTTTTTGTTCTCTCTTGTGTGAAACACCAAACTCGGGCAACATCTATAGATATTCCAATATCATATCCAGAAATTAATTGTAACAATGGTTTTGGATAAGTAACATACCCCAAAGTAGATTGTAACCAAGGTGAATGTCCACCTGTACAAAAAAAAAATTACAAAATTATATTTGTTACATTCAAGTAACTAAGCTTTAGCCAATATGACAGTAAAAGTTTTCCCTACAATGAATATTAAAATCACTTTGATCGTAGGTTCTATCTTTGTAGTTGGTGAAATTTATAACTTTACTGTTATAATGAATAAAGTTTAGTTACACAAATATAATATTGTAACTTAGTGGCTATTATTTCGTTCCTTTTAGAGTTCAGTTACCTTAATGTGATTATATTCAAAGATGAAAGATGGAGAAAAAGAAGAAGGCCATTATATTCCTTACTGAGTATAGAAATTAAGTATGCGTAAACGGTGGGTAACTACATCTGCAATAAGAAGAGACAGAAGCAAAGCGAAAGCGATTAATCTGTAAACAAGCAGCCAAACAGGATGAATTCCTTTGTAACATGCTTTCCAAACTTCATCTTTATACAGAAAACCTGCTTTATTAATTAGCTCATGATTCTCTATTTGTTGGCTTCTGGATTTTGAGAAACCTTCATACTTCCATATTATGACTGCTGAAACCAACATTGCTGCTAATATCCATATTCCACAGATTAAGAATCTCCAATTAAGCCAATAACTCGGGGTAATTGTATCTGCTGTCATAGCCGGTGGCTAAGTATGATTCAAAGATTCTTGTGTTTTAATGAAAGAAATAAGAGCAAATATGCATTGGTTTCAATTGATTATTTGAGAATTAAACAAATGAGTCCAGGGTGATAGTATGAACAAAAGATGAGGCCTGCACGTACAAGGGTGATAAACTATCAATTTATTTCTATTTCATAGATCTCCTCTTTAGTTATCATAATCTACTCAGTCAAATGATAGAAAAAGGAAAGTGGGATAGCACTTCAGTACTACTAGGCAAATATGAAGAGAGACAGGTTCAGAATTTTGAGTTTATGAGTATTGGGTTCTGAATAAATTATTTATGCATAATCTAGTAAGTTTGTTAATATAAATACAGAATTTTGGTTAGAGCTATTAAATTCCGCCGAACCCATAGCTAGAACTCTAGCTCCGTCTTGTTTGACCAAAACGAGTTAAGCCTTTTTAGTTAAACCAGTTTAATGAATGTATAAGGGGTGAATCCAAGTTATAAGTAATAAATCCTAGACCCGAAATCTGACAACTTAGATGGGATGAATCGTGTTCTAGTCAACAAATGCCTCGTTAATACTCAATGATTAGATATAAATATAAGAGAATGCATGCAATAAATGTGATAAATGGCATTTAATATAATAAGAAGCAATAAGTCGCCCAATTGTTGGATGAAATGGATGATTCCTTCTTCAGAAGCAACGTGTGACAGCATGCAATAGCAGTGAACAATGTGTTCTCGGATCTTGTGAACTAAAGAAGAATGTTATGTCAAGGGATTAAACACAAGAGACAAGACAAGCTTTTTGTATATTCTTGATAGTCAACTCTTTTACAAGATGTTCTTTTACAGAAGTTTCGAATCCCATTTTGTTTTCTTTCTCTTTCTATTTATAAGGGATATCCTTAGAAAACAATAAAAAAGTACAAAATGGGGGAATATATTCAATAGAATGTTCCCGCTCGCAACTCTAGGAACATTACAACTGCTGCATCTGTTTGCTCTCTGCTCGACCTCGGTGTCGGTCCCTCCTATTAGGCGACTCCTCGCCACTGAACCATACTCGGTTTCAACCTCGACCTTATCCTGTCCATCTGCATTCACTAAACCTGTTGATACCCAATTTTTCCCTATGTATTTTTTATATACGAAACACTTTCAAAATAACGTATATATGCATATATAAGCATGCCTAAAGATTTTAGTATTTTTCCCAATTTTTTTTAAGATTTTTAGAATCAAGTTATTGTCCATTTTAGCAGTACAAAATAAGTGATTATTCCCAAAAAAATATCAACTTTGGTGAATAATTTATCTTATTCCCACCTTTACACCAAAATATAGTTAAGGTGATTTCTGCACATTTTTACATATTTATTTGGTATTTTAAAAAGCTAAAATTGCATATAATTGCAATTCTAGCCTATTTTAAGTCCAATAGCATTTTAATTATAAAAATTGGTTCCAGCATTTTTTAAATTAATATTTATGTGTTATTAACTGACTCGGTACTTTTAATTTGCTTTGAAAATCATTTTTACTATTTTTTATAAAAAAGGGGAAAACTGGCTATTTAACATTTAGCCTCATTTCTTTGCAATTACAGCCTATTTACATTTCAATTTTAGCCCTCAAATTGACCCAATCCTAACCCCAATTGGACCGGCCCAATTCTAATTTTACCCAACCCCTTAACCCATTTGTTTAACCCACCCGGATTTTCTTTTAATCTAGGACGTTGATCATTTTGATCAGCGGCCAGGATTACCCCTTTCCATTTTAATTCACCAACCCCACCCTAATCCCCCCATTTCGTTTAGTCCGCCGCACTTGAATACTCTCCACTCCCAAAATTCTCTCGAAGGAACCCTAACCGTCTCCGACCCTTTTCCACCGTACTTTCACCGGAATTCATGGCTTCTCAGGCCATGGATGGTCTGTACTCACCCCCCTCCACCATTAGACCATGGGTGTTCGAATCTTTAAGGTCTGACCTCGATGATTCTCTTTCAGACCTTCTTAGATCTATGGTTCTATGGCCTCTCCGGCCATGCTCAGGCGTATTCAAACTTTAGGAGCCTATTTCCCACCTCATCCGACTGCAGATCGGAGTTTCTTCCAAGCCTTTCTCATTTCTAGGGTTTCTCCTAAATCCTAAGCTATTCGAGGTTTTTCTTTGTTTGTTTTCTTAGATCTGTGATATATTTGTGTTCTACTGGATTTTTTAAGTGTTTTTCCCAATCTTTTCTTTCAAAATTGTTTCTCTTCGATTTAGGGTTTCTGAAAGGTTTTCAAAACATCTTTCTGATTCTTTTTTTTATGTGTGTTTGTCTATATTATGCTCGTGTGTTTTCCTTCTCTACCACGCATGTGTTGTTTTTCTGTTTTCTTCCTACTATACACGATTCTTCTATATCTTTGTATTCTACTGTGCCTTTAGACTAGGCTCGCATGTTAATCTTTGTTATGTTCTTCTATCTGTTCTTTGCTATATTTTTAGTATTTTTCTACTGTACGTGTTTCCCACTGAGTTCTTAAATTTTGTTTACTTTACCTAACTTTGTTTGAGTTCTAAGCATCCTTCCTTTATTGTTTCTTAAGTTTACATCACTTCTTCTCTCTGCTGAACTTGATTAAATTCCGAAGCTTTTCTCAAACATGTTCTTTATGCTTTCAAACCTGCTATCATGTTTGTTGGTCTCTTATGAGTCTCTGAAAGAGACCTCTGAGTCTGTTTCAATGGCTTGCCTTCTAATCTCTGTGTCTGATTCGAGTGAAAACCCTAGAATTTGGGGGTTTCTTTGGCAAGTTCGATTTTTTGTTTGGACTGGAGTTCTACTTTGAAACCCTGAACTCTCAGACTCATTCTGAGTCTATAAATTGGACCTGAACCTTTTTTATGACTGTTTCTATGATAGTCTTTTCTAATCAGCATGACAACTCCTTCTTGTTTGATTTGTGTGCCTTATATATGAGAAATTCTTCTTTCAAAAAGGTTTTGCCAATTATGATTGATTCCGAATTCCTTTTAGTAAGGTTTGATTGATTGTTATTGATTTTCCTTAAGTAAAACCCTTTCCTCTCTTTTCCTGACTTGGTTCTTTCGAACAAAGCCTGCGATTTTGATTTTACTGACTGTTTGATTGATTCCCTTTCCTTATTTTCACAAACCGTGTACCACTGAACTTTTTTCCTTAAATAAACTCCTTTGTATTTACCCTCTTTGTGTTACTTTGGAGAAGATTTCAGTCAAATTCTTTCCTTAACTGTCTTCTACCCGTTTGAAATCAGAATCCCTTAACTAAAGGGAGACTTTATGTGATTGATTGTAAAACTATTTTTCTTACCTTTTCTTACTTGCCTTCTGCACTATAAAAAGGGATTGCCCTTCTGCACTTTCAAGCACGCACGATTGAATACTCTTTAAGACAACTTCGAATTCAATACTTTTACACACCTTCAGCTTACGCTACTCACCTCACACTCTTAATTTCAATACTTTCACATTCTCATCTGAGTTTCTTCTGGCTGTTTGCTTGCAATTTGGGCTTTACTACTACTTTTTCTCTGCTTATTTCTGAAACTGGTATGTCCTAATTTAGTTTCAGCCATCACACCAATGTGTTTATTTACAGCTTCTGCAATCCTGTTTACTTTACTGTCCATGCTCATTGATTAATCTGTATATTATTCTCTTTGCACCTGTTTTCTGGTGTGAGTCCCTATGCCCGTATTCCCTCTATGTGTTTGAGTTAAGGTTCAGGCATGGCAGTATCCAAATTGCTGCTCATGTTTGGACCTGATCCTTAATGGATCCTAACTCCCAAACAAATGTGGCTAACAGGCTGGTCAGGGGTGTGCCAGCACTCCTAATTGCTGGGTATGACCACCAGCCTGCCATGGCCTTCCCAGAATCCCCTCTATTGCACTTACACTCATTCCTAGTTTCTAAGTTCTGCCCCCCTCCTATGAGCCTTGCTTTGGGACCTTGAGTTTCCTCTGAACTTGGACATATGAGGGCTGGCCCTTCCACACTGCACTTTAATTCAATTCTGCAATTTATTTGGGTGTAAGCACTGTCCGGAGTTTATGAAGCTCCTGGGAACTCTGACACACCCAAAAATGAGAAAGGCTTTGGAAATCAGATCTTTGGAGTTGGTTTATTTCATGTTTCAGACTTGGAGTCTAAATTAGGCTCTCCTTGGTTGTACTTTAATTTCTGATGTAATTTTACTTTATTCATTCTGGGTTGTAATAATTTGTAATAACTTATGGGGGTATATAGTGAAAAGGGGAGGGTCACTCATGTATGCATGTGGGTAGACATCATGTTCTTAGGTGTTTATTCCTACAATCTCATCCTGCTTTTCATCTATGCATATCATATAGACCTTGTCTTATTTATGCATATGCATATCATATAGAAATCCTGCTTATAGTTCTGCACTTATGCATGTCATATAGAAATCCTGTCTATAGTTCTGCACTTATGCATTTCATATAGAATCCTGCTTATAGTTTTGCAACTTATGCATATATAGATACCATGCCTTTGGGGTTCTGCACTCATATAGATACCATGACTATAGGCTTCTGCATTCTTGCATCGTATAGATAACCTGCCTATAAGATCTTTTAAATTCTGCATTTTGCATCTATCGTTAGGCAAACGGTTTATAGGTTTAAAATAACAAAATCACATTATAGATACCATGCCTATAGGACTCTCGCGTTTATATAAACGTTTTAAAATCAATCACGCCTAGAAAGCATGTCTATATGGGTAATCAACTGAATCTGAATCAAGCCTAAAATCAACAATTTCGATACTCAACATCTGCAGAGTGTATGTTTGCTTTCTATAAAATCAGTATACTTCGCATTGCTAGATATCATGCCCATAGGTCTCACCTAGGCAAGCCATTAGGTAATTAATTAACTACACCAGTCTTTAATAATTACAACCAGCAGGCAGGCCTAATTTGGACTTCTTATTTGAAAATATGTGATAAATCAGCCACGCCTTAGCGTTTAAGTTTAATTAAAGACCTAATCAGTATCTGAAAGACA